ATCGTCTGTGCATCATCCATTACTTAGAGCAATGCATTCATGAACTGTTGTCCCTGGTTATACTTCCCTTACAAACCAACCCATTGACTAAGCAGCACACAGATACAAGGTCACATCTAAGAAAGGTCCTCCAAAAGTTATTGCTCAATTTTATTTTAGCAAGTGATTGGATCATCTTAAAATCTTCCAGGATATTTCTTAAAGAGAAGTTCAACAGAAGAAATTTAGGTAATAGAATTCCTATCATTCCAGCTTTTCTCTAAAATAAAACAAGTCAGCTTTCAGCAAAGGGGGTTTCAAAGGAAGCTCTTTTTGCCCAGCTCATCTCTTATCCTTGAGGCTTAAGAGAATTTATAGCAGACACTGGGATAATTCCAAACAGACTCATTTTGGTGTTATCTCACTCTCTAAATATTACGCCAAATACTTCTGGCAATCAAGCAGAATTCCAAAACCCTTTCAGGGAGTAGGAAACTTTCAATATACCCTGTGTCTTCAGAGCCTGGTTGCCTTGAGAAAGAAGAGTTCTGTTTATCACCATTTTAGACGGGTATGCTGAAATGTTTGTCATTTTGGAATTCCTATTCATTCAGTATTATTTTTTATTTATTTCTTAAAGTGGGCTCTACACCCAACGTAGGGCTTGAACTCACAACCCTCAAGATCAAGAGTCACAGGCTTTACCAACTGAGCCAGCCAGGCACCCCTATTCTGTATTATTTTTTAGTTTTGAGTTCTATAAACATGGCTACTTTTCCAATTTTCCTATCTTTGGAGGAGGTGGTCGAATACCTTTGTAATACATTTGTAAATGCATTTGCAAATATATTAAATTTAGGCTAGAATTGCATAACGCTATTTACCACAGAGAGGAATTTGGTAAGCAGGGTCCACCTTATATGGCCAGTTGGTAAAGGGAAGTGTTACCTGACAAAGGAGGCTGTCCTCATAAGGCAGGGTCACCTATCCACGAGTACTACAGCATTGCCTCCAAGTGAAGCCTTAGATCAAACCTCCACATAAAATGAGAATAACACAGGAAACATGTCCTCCATCTTGTCAAAGAGGCATCCATCATACCCTGCTTTTTAGGGAGCTGGCTTGGGCCTCCTGTTTGGAAAGTGATCCTTGGTGGTTGGGGAAGGGGAAAAGCTTCATTCTTGGGGTGGAGAACTGGCCTGAGCAAAATAGCATATCGGGGCCACCTTCCACCAGCAGACGCTTCAAGAACGGACTGTCTTTTGGAGGGAGTTGGTGCCCTAAGCCAAGTAGAGACTCCCCCTCAGTCAGCTCTACAAGTACTAATTCCATGTTTGATTGGAAGCAAACCTAGACTTGTGTGTGTGTGTGTGTGCGTGTGTGTGTGTGATGCCTGATCTTCTCTTCCAGGATTCCCCACCCAGCCCAAGGACAAATGGCTTGCCTAGGAGAAAAGGTAAGGAGGTAGGAACATGGCATTGAACTCAGACTGACCTTAGCTGGAATCGGGCTTCTACCACATACAAGCTACGTGACTTTGGGCAGGTTTCCTTCATCTTTCTCAGGCTCAATTTCCTCAATCATGAAATGGCAATAATCACAGCCACTCCACAGAGTGGTTGTGAGGAATAAAGGGGACAGCACATTGTCAATCGCTCAGTGCAGTACCTGTCACCTAGTAAGCCTGCAGCAAAGGTTACCTATTCTCATTGTGATGCTCTTATCTGTGGGCCTGTGTTCCACTTTTCGGCAGAAACCAGTGAGAAAACTCTACTCAGCAAGAACAAAATCACTGTTTAAAACACGTTTGAGGCCAGTGTAAAAGCCAAAAGAATGTTGTGGTTAAAAAGAGTCCAAATGCAACCCTAGCTCTTCTGAATTCCCAAATGGGCTACTCATGGTAGAGTTGTCACCGAGTTTGTGACTGGACCATTGTATAAAAGCCAAACACACCCATGCTTTAAAGGAGTTCTTTTCACAAGGGTCGTTCGCAGAGACTGATGCAGTTAAGAGTCAAAGCTGGGTAGAGTCTCATCAAGAACGTGTGCACACAGCAGAGACTCCTGGCAAAGGACCGAGAGCGTTACACTGTGACATCACATTTATGGTCTGCTGAGCCGTAGAAGTAGGGCCGGAAGGGCAAAAGCTTACCAGTAAAAATTAATGTCAGTGGGAGTTTAAGAACACTAGTCTCCAAGAAGCGTGAAAAATTCACATGTGCTGCGGGGTCAGCCCATTCCTTCAGTGCCTGAGATCATTGTCGGATACAATCTTTTCCCATAATAAGGTAACACCTCTATTAATTTGCAAGATTCCAGGGTGAGATAATAGGAAAAATACTAGATGCTGCGCTAATGGCTCCTTATCCATAACTAGAAATTACGTGTGTGGTAATTAGTTTGCTGTAACGAAAACTGCGAGCCCCAACACGTCAATCTTGTACTCCACGGCATTAGATGCTTGAGCAGTTTTATTTTAGTTTATTTTTTAAACTGTCTTTGGCGACTGCCCAATAACACGTGGCGTGAAGCAGTACCCTCCCTCCCATTTAGCCTGTTAAACAAGCTTGTTGAGCAATAAGGGCAGAATAGTGAAACCATCCTCACCTTCAGTCAACCTTTCCTTAATTGGGCAACAGTGCACATTTCCATCCCCGACAAAAGAGAAATGCAGTTTTGGTTTTCTGGGAGCATGCTATTAAGATTGCAATTCATTTATCTTGATTCTAGCTTCTTAGGCACACACACATACCACCAAAGAAACGAGCTCGCTGGGATGTACATACTCATCATCATAGTTTTTCATACTTCAGCTTTTTTGCTTTTTCAGCAAGCAGGGATTTAAAATCATCAGCTCAAATACAAAAACACTCCTAATTCTTAAACATTAGCCTTTTACTCACCGCAGGGTCTTTCAGATTTGCGATTGAAATAAAAGCCAAAAACAGCTATTTGAGTGATTATAATTGCACAAATATTTTTGAAAGAATGATGAACTCAAGACATTAGTGGTGAAGTGTTCTGAATAATTGGTTACACAAGTGTATTTTCAATGGAAAGCTTTCATTCACTTTTATTTTCCCACATAGTAGGTGCTATTTAAGTTTCTGAAGTGGATTTGCAGATTGAAAAGTCACAAGCTGGGCGCCTGGGTGGCTCAGTCAGTTAAGCGACTGCCTTCAGCTCAGGTCATGATCCCGGAGTCCCAGGATCAAGTCCTGCATCAGGCTTCCCGCTGAGTGGGGAGTCTGCTTCTCCTTCTGACCCTTCCCCCCTGACCCTCCCCCTTTCTCTCTTTCTTTCCCACTCTCCCTCTCTTTCTCTCCCACTCAAATAAATAAATAAATAAATAAATAAATAAATAAATAAAATCTTAAAAAAGAAAAGTCACAAGCTACTCCATGGACTAGGGACAGTGGTTTCCAAACATCTATTTGTGTGTCCCAGGGCTGACCCAAGAACTGATTTTCAATGGTCAGGAAAACAAATGAGAAAATGAAGGACATTAGAAAGAAACTTTTTTATATATTTGAAATTCCTCCATTTAAAGAGCTGACCGTTATTCCAAGATTTTTGGTCTTCTATTTATCTCCATACTTCTTTTATTTTTAATTGTACTTGTCCATGAAATCTACATTCTGGGAACAACTGCTGGAATGTCTAGAAATATGAGAGCCTGTCAGTTGCGAATTGGCTGAGCTCACTATATCCATATTATGCCGGCCACAGAAAAGCTGCCAGCTTTAGGTCAATAACAATCTGGCTGATCTAGCTGAAAATATCCCCAGATGATGTCCAGTCTCTTGCCCTTCTCCTGGTCTATTAAATCCACTCCCTCCTGGAACGCTGACCATCACTAGGTGTCTTCATCTTAAAAAGTAGGAAACCTTGGACCAAACTCTTCCTCCATTTAATTCCAAGAAAAGTGAGTGACTGTGGGTAAACCATGCTGAATCCTATATGACAAAATAATCCCTGAATGAAAATGGAGGGAAGCAAATATTCAAATATTCTCTCCTCCCTTAAAAAAAAAAAAATGATGATCAGCCAACATAAGAAATCCGTATGCAGGCAGCAACATTTTGATTCAGCTAGACATTTTCACACTAGTGGAGAAAACATTTTGGCAAAGAATTATTTTAACCAAGAAGTAAAACACAAAATTCCAATCTTAGCTAAGGCCATCTGTTATAACCCACATGAAAGCACATCGGAAGGAAATCTCTCTATCCATTGCATTGTAGTATTACTGATGCTCACTGGCCCTTTTAACATTAAGCCCCAAAGTGAGTACTGTAACTGCAGCACATCTTGGGCTGAATTGGCTGAGAAATTGCATTCTCTAAAGAAAGGAAGAGCATGACAAACCTCTGAGGAACGGGATCCTAGTGGGAACTCTGGTTATGAGTCCAGCCCACATGGATTTCAGATTGTTTGCAGTGTTTATGGTTCTATCCAGTTTTTCATCATTGAGGGGGAAAAAACCCACTACAAAGTCCCCACTTTATAGAAGATATTTTCAGATTCAGATTTTACATACTCCGAGTTCTTTTACACAGAGAACAAGATACATATAAAACTGTTGCTTTGAAAAAGTTCTAGGGAAAAGTTAATATGATTTTATAATCCTAGCTACTAAGTTTCAGTAGCCACCCTTTCCTCCCTCTCCCTCATAACCAATTATCTGCTCTGGTTAAATAAGAATCTTCACAGTGATTCTTTTGGCTAGATTTTATACCATAAGTAAGGCAGGGTTTCTGATTTGACACACAGAAAATCTTGGTTTTAAAAAGTCTAAGGAATTGAGTGCATTGATTATACAACAGAAGTCTGGGGCAAAAGCTTGTGTCAATCTCCTCTTCCCCTATCTTGGTCATATCAATCTTTTCTCATGTTCTCCTACTTTCTCATGTTCTTCTCCTTCCTTTATGTAGTATTTCCTACTCCTCCCCACTGCAAGGTCTGAGGAGGCATTATTTAGTGTAATGAATAATGGCTTTTGAGTAGCTCTTTGACACTCACCAAGTATGTTCACTTTTCTGCCATATTTCATCATCACAGAAGACATGTACTATCCTCAGCATCTTGATGAAGAAATTGAGGTTCAGAGATGGGTCACAACTCCTAGAAAAAGTGGCAGAAATGGAACCTCTATCAGTTTTCCTAATTTCATATCCCAAGTTTTAACTAGCATTTGAGGCTAAAGAAGAGAGTACTGTCTGGTCTGAGTAGGGATCCCAACTTTGTTGGTTAAACATACTTTCTTTTTTCTTCAAATCTGTAGAGATTTGTAACTCTCTGAGTTCCTAAGACGTGGTAAAACAACAATAACAAATCTGAGAGTAGCCAAGACCTCATCATCCAATTCTCCTCTTCTCTCAGGAAATTTCAGCCAATAGCAGGAAAGGGGCAGTGGGCAAGTCAAGTAAGACTCTGAAAGATACAGGGAAATATACAAAGGCAAGACAAAAGTAGGAGTAGTATTAACCCAAAGCTGTGTCTGGAGCTGGACAACAGGGCAAGAAACCAAGAGTGCCCTCTAAGGGTTGGAGAAGGGACACCAGGAGAAGACAGACTACCAGCACCACCAACCTGAACCCCTAGCACATCTTGCCTGTCCAGCACAGTGTTTGAACAGAACAGAAACATTTACTGTTTCTCAAAAAGATGAACAAGCAACCAAGACTATGCAAACATTTGAGGAAAAGTAACACCTTGGAAGAAAAGCCAAAATTCAACAAATAAAGAATTTTGAAGAATAAGATTTAAAAGACCTCACAAAGTTTCAGAGTAAGTATAAAAAATATCACTGGAAAGGTGTAGGATACTGTAGCTAAAACATTAACTGAATATTGTAGAAATAAAAAATTTGATAATTAAAATAAAAAGATCAGGGTGCCTGGGTGGCTCAGTCGGTTGAGTGACTGCCTTGGGCTCAGGTCATGATCCCAGGGTCCTGGGATCGAGTCCCACATCGGGCTCCCTGCTCTGCAGGGAGCCTGCTTCTCCCTCTCCCACTCCCCCTGCTTGTGTTCCCTCTCTCGCTGTGTCTCTCTCTGTCAAATAAATAAATAAAATCTTTAAAAAAAAAATAAAAAATAAAAAATAAAAAGATCAATTTGGGAGTTAATAGTAGAATGGACACATATGAGCAGCATTTTGAAATACCAAGTTAAGGAATTGTCTCAAAACATAGTGGGAAAAGACAAAGAGAATATGAAAGAAAAGTAAACAGACATAAGGACTGACTCAGATTCCCATAGCCATTTAATAGGGGTTCCAGAAAGAGAGAACAGAGAGAATATAAGAGAGGAAATAATTGAGGAATTAGTAAAATAAAATTTCTCTGAGAGAAAAAAATATTCATATTGGTATCTAATAGGTCCTAAGCAGGATAAATGAAAGAAAAAAACAACAAAAACTTACATCTAGATCCATTCTTGTGAAATTTCAGAACAAAAAGAATAAAGAGGGCATTCTAAAGGCTCTAGAGAGTTGGGGCATCTGGCTGACTCAGTCAGCAGAGCATGCAACTCTTGATCTCAGGGTCATGAGTTCAAGCTCCACGCTGGGCATAGAGCTTACTTTAAAAAAATAAAATAAATAAAGGCTTCAGAGAGTAAAAAACAGATAACCTACATAAGAACAAAGATAATATTAGCATCAGACCTCATCAATAATACTGAAATCAAGAAGAAATTAGAACATCTTCAAAATTCTGAGGAAAAAAAAACTGACCCCAAAATTTTGACCCAGCTATAGTATGAAAAGAAAGACATTTTTGTAAATGTAAAGTCTCAAAAAATGTATCAATCATAAATCATTTCTGAAAAAACTAGTAAAGATGTACTTGCAAATAATGAAAAAATAAGCCCAAGTAGAAGACATAGGATAGATAGGATAGATAAAACAAGAAAGAGGGGTGTTAAGAAACCAGAAAAAATTACACTTAACCCTTAATTATTGGAGGAGTAATAAAAAATAAAAATCAGAAATTAAAATCCTAGATGATCTCAGGGGAGAAAATGGCAGCGGGAGCAGAGGGAGCTGGTAAATGAAAGTGTGCAAAAGTTCATCTAATCTTAGGGTGGAGTTAAATGCTGCATAATTCTAGATAAAAAATATGTTGACTAGGCATTAAACATCTAAAAATAACCATTAGAAAAATAGAAATAGATTGTGTAACTTCCAAGCCAACAGAGCAACTAAATGTAACTAAAACCAAACCAAACCAAAACAGATAAACAAAAAACTTCAACAGTTGAATAAAAGACCAGGAAGAAGAGAAAATAAGCAATGAAAAATACAAAACCCATAAAACAAGATGATAGGAAACCCAGATGGAGGTACAAACTGACCTATACTCTTAAAATGTCAAAATCATGAAAATAAAATAAAGACTACAGAAATGTTCCAGATTAAAGGATACTAAAGAAACATGACAGCTAAAAGCAATGCACAATCCTGGATTGGAAACCGGGGTGGAAAAGAATTGCCATAAGACATATTACTGGGAAAAATTTGAAGACGGGTTCTAGATTGGATAATAGTAATATAACAATGCTAAATATCATTTCAATGATGGTACTATGGTCTGTAGGATAATTTTCTTTTCCTTAGAATACTCATACTGAAGCATACAGGAATAAAGGGATATGATCTTCACAATGTACTCTCAAATGGTTCAGAAATGAAAAATAACTATGTATATATAACTATGTAATATACATATGACATATAGGTGGTGTATTTATCAAGAGAGAGAATGATCAAGAATGTGGCAAAATGTTAACAGACGGTGAATCTGAGTGAAAAGTATATTGGCATCCTTCGGACTATTCTTATAAGTGTTCTCTAAGTATGAGACTATTACAAAAAGGAAATAAAATAATATGGCAGAAATAAGTATAATAATCAACATTCATGACAATATGAATGGATTGAATTCCTTTATTAAAAAGCAGAGATACTCAGGCTGGTCTGAAACAAAGCAAAATAAAAGAAAGAAAGAGACCTCAACTATATGTTATTCGTAAGAGACACAGCTGAAACAAAAAGGGAAAATAAAGGCATTTTCCAGGCAAATGTGGAGAAATAGAAAGCAACTACAGCAACATTCATGTCAAGCAAAATAGAATTGAAGATGCAATGTTCCAAGAAGGAGAACAAGGAATATTTCATATTGATAGAAAGAACAATTCACTAAGAGAGTAGAGCAATCATAAATCCATTCTGTCTCTAACATTACAGCATTAGTAAATAAGGAAAAGACTGGTGGGCATGCAAAGAGATGGTAAAAACTCCCAATTATAATGGAAATTTCTAACATACCTCTCTTAGAGGTGGATAAATCAGGTAGGCCAAAAGTAAATTACATTGGGTTTGAACCATGGTTGAAAAGCAGGTCTTATATATATATAAAGAAGTTTGTGTTCGGGAGGCAAAAGTTATACATTTTTTATAAATTTACCTGAGGTATTGAGAACAATGAAAACAGGCCTTAGAAGGGCTTCATTTCAGAATAAGGCATCCTAGATGGAGGGACCCTTGATCTTACAACCTTTGTTCCAGGAGAGGATAATATCAAACCAGGCCTGTCCAAAGCATCTGCCTCAAAACCAGACACTGGAAAAGCCAGATTTCTGTTTTGTATATTTATACATCTGCTTCTCACAGGAATCATACCTTCCTATAACATGTTACACATGTGACAACTCCAAGATCATGCTGCACGCTGTAGTTCCAAGCAATTCCCACAGGAACTCCATGCCCCTGTAGAGTTTATATACATATATAGGATATATATGTATGTGTATATACACATGTATATGCATATATGCATGCATATATATGTTTTTAAACTTTATTATGATATAATTTACGTACTACAAAGTTCACTCATTTAGAGTGTACAATTCAATGGCTTTAGTATACTTTCAGAGTTGTGCAATCATCACTATAACCTAATTTTAAAACATTTCATCACCCCCAAAAGAAACCTTTCATCCATTTACAGTCACTTCCTACCCTACCTTCTGCTCCCTCATCCTCCAAAGTGGCTGCACAATAGCCTAGGAGTTGGGAAAAGGGCCTGTTGGGTTTGGGTGGGGTAATGTGATGCTGTCAGCTGTGGTCCCTTTGCTTTCTTCCAGCTCTGGTTGAAAAGGTTACAAAGCTATGAAAGAAAGTTCTGTAGTAACCCATGGAATAAACCTTGTTGTCATGATTTTTTAATACTGTGTCTCACTGCAAAAGTCAGAGTACCTTAGGATCTGGGGGACAAGCTCCATTATAACTCCATAACCCAAGTTCTTGCTGATTCTGATTCCAATTAGTTTTCTAACTGATCAAAATTTCTTCTGTAATGTATTGCTCTTCAACAAAAATTAATTTTCCTTCTGTATACACATCTCATTCTATGAATAAATCATTCTGTATTCCAAAGCAGAACTTTATTTGAACTCTGATAGGTAAGTATGATATTTACCCTCTTCTTTCCCTAGAGAACTGTATTGCTAACCAGGAACCTGCCCCTTTGTAGGCTCTTCTACTAGATTACATAATTGCACTTATGCTCTCTCTAGTAACTCATCCCAGTTATTTGGACTTGACATTCCTAAATATGACCAGTTTGATACTCTTCTATAAAACACAAGATTGAACATTCCTAGGGAACATTTCACTTTGTCAGAGTTCTACTTTATTTTTAACATGTCTCAGATGGTGAATTTTTTCCTCAAAACTTTTGAAATCTGCTTTCCTCAAGCCTCATGTGCATTCTAACCATGCGGAACAACTCCTTATTTGATAATCAAAACTTTGAGATGATGCACCTGCTTTCTCACAAGGTTTCTGTTGCATTCCCTTAGTGCAGAGGCTCCTTTCTGCTGGTCAGAATTCAGGCCAGGATGGTCTTCGGAGCCTCCCAAGAGACAAAACTGATTAGCAAGAGAAGCTAAAAAAGTATATCCTATTCTTTTTCATATCTGTAATATCATACTTTAGTTTTGGTTTTGTAATCTGCAGTAGGAAAACATCATCTATTCCTTCCATCTGGCCAGTAATTTCTTGGTCCCTGTCGCAGCAATTTTTCTATTCCTGTTTCTTTTGATTTGATGCTCACC